TCTGGAGGATGTGACAAGGAACCATCATGGAGGCAGAGATGAGCCCTCACCAGACACTAAAACTGCTGGTGCCTCAATCTTTGACTTCCTTTCCAGCCTCCAGAACCGTGAGACATAAATTTCTATTGTTTACAAATTGCCCAATCTAAGGTATTTTGTTAAGCAGCAGGAACAGACTGAGACAGGCACATTGTGAACATCTACAACCAGTCCCCCTGGAGTCCTATTGATGTGAGCTAGAATTTATAACCATTCTTGTGAAAGAGCGCTTGAGACCAAATTAGAGGAAAATATAACGTGTTGGCACTCTATTTGACAGTCTTGGCAGGGCATCAACCGTCAGCTGTGGGAGCACGCCATATTGAATGTCCAGCTCCGTTGAGCCTTCAAATGACTGCAGCCCAGCTAACACTGACCTTAACTGCAGGAGAGATACTAAGTGAAAAATGTCCCAGCCAGGCTTTTCTCAAATTCCCGTGCCACAAAATCATGAGCAAAAAATAAGTAGTTATTTTAAGCTGTGGAGTGTTGGAGTCATTTGTTATGCGGCAACAGTCACTGGAACAGCCACCTTACTTGACCTTCCTATTGCTTTCTTATACATTGCAGAGTTCTAAATATCTTGAATATTAAGACTTACGACTCTCTGTTCCTTAAGCTTTAATGTTGATGAACATGGATTCACCAAGTCTCACCCTGAAGGTGGAACAAATAGGTGGGTTTTTAGTACAAAATATGTGCTAGAATATTAGTTGTGAGACTTTGGGAAATTTCTTGCCCTCATTTCTTCATCTGCAAAATGAGGATAATAATAATAATATTAACCTTAGAGACTAGAATAAGGGTAGCTGGGTTCCAAAATGCTAAGCAGTATCTAGCACCTACTGGGCACTCAGCAATCGTTAGTTGTTTTATTGTTACTTCAGCTTGAAGCTCCCTCTGACCCTGCTTCATTGGCTTTCTATCTTACTTCCTTTGCTTCATTTGATATTGGCTAAAGGCCTGATCTCTGTCTTCCCTGACTGTCTTTGATCTCAAGAGCCAATCACCTGCCCCAAATTGTGCCTAGTCTGGGTGAATTTTGTTTATACCCGTGTTTCAAAATGGTCATATCCCATTTTCTAGGCCAAGTTCCCAACACTAAACAGTCCCATTGCAATAACAGGGATGAAGCTGTAATGATTAAACAGGATCCTGGCTGACATTTTCATGCTGGGAACGTCCTAGCAGACCCTTAAGAAATGCTTTCTGCCCCTTTGGGCAATAGCTAATTAAGCATCACCCTCTCAATGATGTATAGCACGTGGAAAGGACATTGCATTGTACCTAAGCAAAGGTAGAAGACATTTTATGAGCATTTATGAAATCACTAGATCTGACAAGAGGGGGTGATGACTGAGTTTGAGGTTGGCAATCAGAGAGAGGTAGATGGCTATCAAAACTGGCCTGTCACAATTCATAAAAGTCAAATTATGGAACCAATCTAGGTAACTGTCAATGGATGAATGGATAAAGAAAATGTGGTATATACATACACAATGGAATTTTATTCAGCCATAAAAAAGAATGAAATTATGTCCTTTGCAGGAAAATAGATGGAACTGGAGAGCATTATGTTAAGGAAAATAAGCCAGATTCAGAAAAGTCAAGGGCCATATGTTTTCTCTCACATGTGAGAGTTAAAGAGGAAAAAAAAAAGGAGGGGGAGAAATCTCATGAAAATTGAAGGGAGATCATAGGGTAGAAGAAAGGAACCAAGGAGGAGAGGAGAGGTACAGGGGAAGGACATTGACCAAGTTATATTTGTTATATTATATGCATGTACAAACATGTAACAATGAATTCCACTATTTTGAAAATTATAACACACCAATAAAAATATGAAAAAAAAAACCTGGGTCGTCTACAAATTGAACCTTCCACATGCAGATAATTGAACATTTGCCATTCAGGCCAAAATATATAATCAATGTTTATAACGCCTTACATGATTTTTTCTCTTATCTATCAGGGATAGCATCTGTAGCAGTCTTTTTTTTTAGCAGGGGTTCTGGGATAGAACCCAAGGGCACTCTACAGGTGAGTTACAGCCTCAGCCCTTTAATTTTTTTTTTTTAAATACACGGCAGCAGTGGAAAGCATTACAATTCTTATTACACATATAGGGCACAATTTTTCATATCTCTGTATATAAAGTATGCTCGTGCCATAGCCCCAGCCCTTTTTTAAATTTTATTTTGAGATAGGCTGTCCCTAAGTTTGCCATCATTTTGCCTCAGTTTCCTGAGTAGCTGAGATTACAGGCATGTGCCACCATCTGTTTCCATCTTTAATCTTATTTTGGAATATCTTGGTGAAAGAATGTCTGGGAAACAATACTGTTCCGTTCACACACGCAGGCAGTTAAGAAAGAAAATTTGGCACCGGTGTTTCCAATCTTCCCACTTCTGGGTGTTAGGGCAGAGATGCCCAATAGTGAGAGGCTGCCGAGCACCTGGCCTGGTTGTGTGGGAGGCTGTTCTTGTCCTCAAAGTGCTCAACTTGCTACTCAACAGTGGATTTGGAGAATGGCTTGGTCATTGTTCTTTCCTACGTAATGCTCACTAAACATGTGGTGAATTAGAGATGGCCACCAATCCACTGTCTCTCTGCACCAGGAGGCAGAGCCTGTTTCCCTAGAATGTGGGCTGCCCTGTGACTATTAACCCAGCAAAAGTGGCAAGTGATGCATGCCCACTCCAGGTCCATCCTTTATGAGGACTGGCAGCTTCCCCTTCTGTCTTGGAACATTTTCTTTAGGAGTCATGAGCCACCAACCAAAAAAATCCAACTACCTTTCTGGGGACCCCACATAGAAAGGAGAGGCCCTGAGACTTACATGGAAAAGGAGAGAGGCTGAGCCATTTCAACATACCAGTTGAGTCTCCAGTAGACTCCAACCCCAGTAACTTTCTGACTCCAACTGCATGAGAGACCCCAGTGAGACCTTAGCAGAACTATCCACCTGTGCCCTATCATCCCACAGAACTGTGATAAACAGTAATTTTTTTTAAAAAAAAGTTATTCAAATTGGTGTGGTTTATTGTGCAGCAATAGATGACCAAAATGATGGAGATATCAGGAATTTTAGTTGGAGGGAGCACAGAGTAATCATCTTTTTTTTTTTTTTGAGGGGGGGAGGTCCCAAAGACCACTAATATTCAGAAGAAATAAGATTAATCAAGAAATTCTGCTGGGACTTTCTACAGGGTTTAGCCATCGTCAGGAGCCATTGTCTTTTCCATTCTGGAAGGGATGACTTAAGTGTCGGGGGGCGTGGGGGCTACAGTTAAATAAATCTGAAACAGGCATCTGTTGGTCAAGGTTTCAGAAGAGCAATGTGCATGTGCTATAATTGTAGCACCACTTTTAGGGAGGTCTCTCTGATCTCCAGGAAAGGACGCTTGGTACGATCCGAGTTAGCCATCCCAATATATCCTGTGTAGGTTTCCCCCAAACTTAGATGCCTCTGTTCCTGGGGGAGCTGACCTCAAATGCTTTGGAAAGGTTTTAAGCCAAGGTGTTAGGAACAAACAAAACAAAACAACAAAAACACTCAAAAGCTCCGGACATTGGTCCATGTACCCTCTTGAAATAATGGGCTGGGGAGTAGCTCAGTGGTAGAGTGCTTGCCTGACATGTGCAAGACCTCCTTTCCTCTTGTGAGAGCCCTCAGCCACTGGAGAGAAAGCTTTCACATCCACTTCAAAACATCTCACACATCAGAAAATACGGAGGCATTGTTGCTGTATTGGTATTTAATGAGACCGGACAAAGACAACACAGATTTTAAGCACACTGGCTTCCCTTGTTTTCCCCATCAATTCTGCTTCAAAGCCTTGCGTTAGTCAACATTGTGTTCTTTGAGGATCTGCAGAAAGGAAAGGCTCTATTGTTTCATCTCTGTGCAGCCTTTGTATGTAATGAGACCAATAATGCACAGTAGAGCTTTTTACTGGGGGGCTTGGTTGGCTGATGAAGGACAGAAGCATGTTCCCAATGAAAAGACGGTGATTCTACAGAATTTTAGCGGAGTCAAGGACATGTGTAGTTGGAAAATCACCAATTCCTCCAACTCATGGGTTTCAATACCACAGAAATGAAAGTTTTCAAGTTAAAAAAAAAATGAAGTTCTGTTACGTCTTTGTCTGGAAGACATTCAGGATAGAATAATAAAGGGGAGGGGGGTGGTTATCTGTAATGAAATGTATTCAAGGGCTCATTCTGAAAGTAGCATGGAAGTCAAATTTCGTCAAACCCTGATTCTGTTGCTAAAAAAGCTATTTCATGAATCCAGAAGCATCCTGTCTAATAGGAAATTTTTATGATGATGGAAATAGAATTGAACTAAATTTCAGCAGCTGAATTAATCCGTGTGGCTATTAAGAACTTGAAATGATGGGTGGGGATTAGGTCAGTTGTATAGTGCTTGCTTAGCCCTGGAATCTATCCTCAGCACCATAAAAATCAAAACAAAACAAACAAAAAAATCAAACAAAACTTGAAATGAACTGAGTGTGATTAAAGAATTGAATTTTTATTTAGCTTGAACTAATTTAGTATTAAATGTATGTAGTTATGTATAGTTAATATCTACTACATTGGATAGTGTGGCTCTAAAAAAATAGTAAATATAAATAGATTGAGAAGACATTTTAAGATGAGGTATAAACTATAGCCCAATAAGAAATTAAGGTTGAATGACAGGTAGGTGTTGTTTATTTAGTCTCTTATTTATTAACTGAAAACAATATTTGTTAAGTGTGTCATCAGGTTTAAAGACCACTGATTTGGAGAAAGGTGAAGATTTGGTCACAGTGAAGTATGGTCATCAGGCCCAATATCAGAGAGGCTGATTCTGTCTCCAATTAGCATTTCCCCAAACAATGAATCTTTTATATTCTGAAGGCATGCAAAGACACACTTGCTTCCAAATGATGCAAAGGCTCCAAAATACTCACCATCATCCATAATTCCAATGGTCACACCTTTCCCAGTGTATCCCAGCTCCCAGGCTTCTGCCACATTCAAATCAAGCCCTGGTGTACCATCTGCTTGCCCAGTGTTGATCTGTACCAGACCAAAGCAGAGAATCTTATTAGGCTGGTGATGTAAAGCACACATGCAGTTTGTTTGATGTTCTCTGCAGCCATGTGATAGTCTAGGGCTAGCATCGGGGCCACATCTTCCATAAAACAGTACTTTTGGGTGCCCCCTCCATCTCTTACATCTCTATTTTTTTATATAAACAATTGATGTTTTATGTTTTATGTAAATATGCAGATGATGTTTCAAATCCATCATCTCTTAAACTAGATGGCTGTCTTCAAGCTCATTCTATGTAACATGTTTAGAGTTTTCATTGCAAGAAACCCTCCTTGAGACAGAATTAAATGCTTAGTCTCATAGCTCTTTGTTTATACTTCACATTTTGAATGCAGTACACACCGTCTTGGTTTATTCTTATTTAGATATAATTTTCCTCACAAAAAACAATATCTTTTGCACATCCTTTGAAAATTTAGTACCAGCATACCAAGTCTTGCTCAAAAATATTTGTTGAACTGAATTAGATAGGTGGGTCACCTTTAGTACAATGTTCTAATACAGATAAAGCCTTCACAAAATTTAAAAAGAAATGAGAGATGAAGAAAAATTCCACATTAATATGTTCATTGCTCTCTTTTCCCGAATCTTTGTCTTGTGCACGATTTTCTCAAAGATGGTTTGTAAAAAGAAAAAGTACTGAAGTAAGAGTTTGTACTGGCAAAAGCCCACAGTGATTGATGCTGTTCTGGTATTATTGAGACATTGTGTGAATTGCAGTAGTGTTCTTCATACAAGTTACTGCTATTCTCCTTCCAGGCACAAGTTAAAACTATATGCTACACATCCTTTGAAGTTATAATGGCCATGTAACTGGTTTTGGCTAATGGCATGAGAGCTCGTGTGCTGTTTGCCACCTCCAGGCAGAAGCTATAAGAGATAATGCATAATTTGCCCCCTTTCCTTGCTGAGGTGCTTATAAAAGCAGTTAGGATGGAATTTAGATTGTGCTTGGTCATCCTGAGCCCCTGAAGGATTATGAAACATTAATTATGTAGCAAGAATGAGACACAATCTTTGATTTGAGATTTGTTTGTTACTGTGACAAAACTAACCTGTTCTAATATAATAAACTCATCCAATTCCAGACTGGACTTTCAAAATTCCATGCTCTAAACCATAAGGCACACATAGTCAAGCTCTGAGGCTCCAGGAGGGAAATTGTGATGCATTCCTGTGATGTAGCCATCCATAGGACTGTAATTTAGTTTTCTCTCTTGTTTAACATATTTTAAATAAAACAAAGCTCCATTTATATTTATAAATTAGTCACTCTCTTTCCAAAAGCATGACCTACAGTTTGGTTTGGTTTAGAGTCTCTGATCTCCTTTTAAATTCGACCCAACCAATCCACATGGATCATGGCAGACTGTTGGTGAGCCAGAAAATATTCACTTCACCTGACAGATTGAATTTCAATGCCTCAAGTTCTGCATCAATTAAGCCTCATGCAATTGATTTGCTGCCATTGTTTAGGAAGCACTAAGAGATGCTGTTTTGCTACATTAGTCTCTGGGCTGTATTGTTCTCCCCTTGTGAAGTCACCAGGTTCTTCACCTTTTGCCACTGACTTTGTTGTGTCCTCCCATTACTTTATCCATTGAGATCCCTGGATTATTCTTCCCACACTTTAGATTTGACTGGTATATATTTTGGCAAGTCTTCATTCACATAAGGGTGCCCTTTTTTGGCATCTGGAAAAATATGCTCAGCTGTTGGGAGTAGCTTTGACCTTAGAAGATCATTGCTATTTAGCAGTTCAGGAAGAAAGCAGATTAGGGGATGAGATGCCTAGTAGTGAGAGAAAATAATGCATTGCACCAGATGCTGGTAAGATACCACTGGATAATTAGGAAATAGAAATATATCTTTTATGCAGTTTCAACAAGAGAGACACTTACCAGATACCACTGCTTTGTAAAAAGAGGATCATTCATGTTGATGTCAATCTCGTTGATGTCTCTGTATCCTCGCTTTTTTCGATCAAATCCTTCCTGTTGCAAGGCCATCTTTACCTGGAATGACAATGCTGGTAAATTACCCAAACACCCTTTTTTGGAATTCATTCCCATGGATTCAATTTTCATTTGTAAATGACTTTTAAAAAAATCTTTCCTCAGCAAAAGGAAGTTCACCTCACGTAACTCTCACTTTATGATTATTTCCCAAGAGCGTTTATTTTGTGGTTGCACTGAACAAACAGGCCTTGGTGATGGTCTCAAAGTGGAGTACCTTAAGATTAGAATTAGATGGAGAAAAGTATTCTCAAGGAAGATAAAGAGGTAAGGGTCATTAAGTGAAATAAAAGAAAACAACAGAATATATCTATTAAGGAAAGGAGATTGATCTGGATTCAGGAAGGCAGAGATTGAGAACTGCATCACTCACATTTCTGGAGGGCTTCCTAGCCTTTGCGTTTGTTGATGGTACAACACTTGGGAGTCAGTCAAAAAGAAAAAAAAATATCAAAACCTCAAAACTAAACGAAAGAAAACCTACCTGTTGGAGAGCCAGAACAGCAGAGTTCTAGAAGGTAAGTAAGAGACCTTTGAAAGTAAATTCATGCATGGTGCTGCTGTCCTTATATTGACATTTTATATTTGGACAGTCAGATAGAACCCCAAGGTCATGAATGGAAATTAAATTCAGGAGCTGAGTTAGTTCAAGCAGGCTCCTGGCCATGACAAAGCTTTGTCCGAATCAGGAAACTCTCTCACTTAGGCATTCACTACTTTATCATTCAATAGTTGTGGTCAGTGGGACCATCTATGACACAAGGAGTAGGCACAGTATGAAAGTGTGTGCTGGATATTTATTATTATTTTTATTATAATTTGTGGTACACATTCATTTTCCTAGCTATCCCCAGAGTTTTGAGGGGACTTCCTCAAATCCATTAGTATTGGTGGGAGTAAAATTCTAGGCATCTGACTACTCTAAAGACACTGAGTACTCTCTAAGTCTCACAATTCATTCATGGCGCTCTCTCGCTCTCTCTCTCTCTCTCTTTGAATTTTCAGAAAGTGATGCAAGGGCAAGGAGCCCCGGGAGTCCGCTTATTCTAGAGGTTCACTCACCAGACTTTACTCGTAAAAGGATCCTGGTTATAGTTTTCGCAGCCCCACCCCAAAACTCTTCCAAGACTGATTCTTCAGCTGCCTATTGATTGTGAGTCCCTGATATCTTCTGCATGCAGTCAATAACCCTAACTGATACGGGATGAGAGTGAGGCAGCAGGGGCCAAGCCAAGAGTGATCGTTGGAAGAGAGGAATAAAGAGACCCCAGGTGTTGTCCCAAACTCTTCCCTTGTGGCTGGAGGTATTGTGGAGTGAAATTGATCAAATTATGTTACATGCCTATAAAAATATGGCATCATGAAGCTCACTATTCTGTATAACTTAATGTGCACCAATAAAAATATTAAAAACAAAAACCCTTCCCTCCAGTATTGTCCTGGACTGTGGAAGAACTTGGGGAAGATGAGTTCCTCACTCTTTCGATTTGCACACCTACCCATGAAGCTCTGGATACATTTTTTTTTCTAGAAAAATTTTAACTATCAGAAATTCTCTACATGTAAGATAAGAGTGTTAGGTGTGACATTGGCTCTGTGAGTTCTTGGATTATTTCCAAAAGAGACATTCACTGCGGCATGGATTTAAAAAATTCCCTCCAAAGAAATAGTGAAATAATTTTAAAAATGTTTGGGTGGGTAGTTTTATAATGTGTAGAGCAGATAAAGTCATGTCTATCAAATGAAGACCAATTCTGATTCAAATATGCATATATGTATATGTACTTATAAATATATAAAAATCATGTATATAAGTTACACATATGAACTGGGCTTGGTGGCCTGTAATCCCAGATGCTCGGGAGACTGAGGCAGGAGGATCATGAGTTCAAAGCCAGCTTCAGCAAATGTGAGGTGCTAAGCAACTCAGGGAGACCTTTTCTCTAAATAAAATAGAAAATAGGGGCTGGGGATGTAGTTGAGTTCCCCTGAGTTCAATCCCTGGTGCCAAAAAAAAAAAAAAAAAAGAAAAATTACACACATACATACACTACCATCAACATCACCACCATTAAGAAGCAGACGCCAAGATGGAATGAAATGTAGAAGAATTTAATTAGGAGAGAAAAGATAAGAAACTTTGTTGTAAGTCTGGCCCCAAGAAAAGGAAAGAGTGAACAGTTGTTTAACTATATCCTTGACTATAGTTAAGGAAACTTTGCCACCTAAGGAAACTTTGGCAAGACTGCAGAAGATTCGAATTTGACTGTTAGAGGAATCCTGGGTCTCCCAGGGATGGGCCTGCCTTAGTATCCTTTCCTGGCTCAGTCACTGGCCAGGAGCAGCTATGGGAAGTGATAGATTTCAGAGTGCAGCAGCTGGAGTCCTTGGTCAGTTATTCTCCGTGAAGCCAGAGGTCTGCAGGGCATATTCTCATAGCTGCCACAGAATACGTGTGTGTGTGCATGTGCATATACATTAATGTAGGACATTTGAAATGCCTAAGTAAATGCATAGATTTCAACCTGGAAAGATTATTACAACATGCATCTCCTGAAACCTTCTTTTACTATGGAAGCAAGTATTTAAACAAGAGTGTTGCTTTAGTTTGGGAAGGAAGGAGCCTGAATTCAATCATGGCATCTTCCTTTGTGGGTCCCACAGTGAGGGCTTTGTCTGCTCTACTCATTAAAGGGAGACTGGCTAGTTTCCATTGAGGTATTCTCCTTATATTGGATTCATTGCCATGAGTCATTTCCCTGAGATAGCACCTTTCCTTGCCAGGATTTTCAGGAAACAAGAGCATCAGTGTAGAAATTTGAAAAACCTCATCTATATGTTGTTTCCCAGATGCCCAAGAACAGAAAGACTTGCACCAGATTCCATCTTTTTAAATATCAGTGCAGGAATGTTCTACTACAATCACTCCAAACTCAATTAGACCAAGTGTCCTCTAATGAAAAGATTACTTTAGTTCATTTTCATAAAATTAATTTTTTAATTTCATAAATGAGCTTTTAATGGAAACCAGTGATGCTTTGGAATGCTGCAGTCTCTGGATACAACCTCTCCTTGCAGCTCAGGAACTTTGAAATTATGACACTGGAGAAGGTTTTCTAAGTCTATTAATTTATCTTTCTGTCCTCAGTGAAGATCACGGTTTTATTTCAAAAGAGACGACACCTTTATAAATATATATTTTTCATATTTTGCATACAAATAACTGGAGAACACTTTTTATGATACCATGCAACACTATTATTTTTATTTTTCTGGGTTCTAATTTAATCCTAATTCACATTAATACATAATCATAATCATACTATAGATAAAATTGTGTATTCTTTATTTACTGTGTATCTTACCACATGAATTTTAATGTGCTACTATATAGTCATCATATTTTAATTTCTATACACCCAAAGAGACTTATACTATAATTTGTCCAACTATTTCTTTCTTATGGTCAGTTGGATTGTTTTCTATTATGATTGAAATTATCATGACCAGAGATGTGGTTATAAACTATTTTTAAAGACATATGGGAAAGATTTCAGTGTTACAATTCTGTGTCTGGTGAAGCTCTTATACCATCAGAGCAATGCCATAGAAGTATTTTTTAGTGTCTAAACCATATTCCTAGCATGATAACTAAAATTCCCCTGGCTTATTTTCTCTTCTTTCTCATTTTTAACCTTTCATGTCTGATGTCTGTTATTGCCATTTAGATGTGATTCCAATGATGCGCACATCTTAATTAGAGCTTCTTCCCCTTCTGAAAAAATAACGTACCTTTCACTGCAGTATTTAGTCTCAGAATGCTTCTGCAAACTGCATCATTAACATAAACATGAGTACAAATAAAAAAATAATGAAAAATATGGAAGAGCAGGAGTGTTTATTACCAGGTATTATTTTTGTTGAAAATGAACAGATGGATAGTACACAATTCTGGTTCAACTTTGAAATCTTAGTTTGGTTTATGTGACCAATGTAACTCAAGCCACCCTATCTGCCTGGGCCCCTTCCAGTGCTCCTTATCTGGAATTTCTTAGTCAACAGATATTTTGTGTATGTCGGCAATATGCCAGTTATGGACCATACCCAGACAGAGCAGAAAATACCCCCGCACATTTGCAGACTATTTTATAGTTAGCAAGGCACTTTCATTACCATTATCTTCCCAACAGACCTGTGGGGTGGGTATTATTACAGTTGAGGGAATGGAGACTCAGAAACTATTGTCCAACAGTTCAAAAACATGGCAGAATCCCTGAGGTCGACGGATTCTAGATGTTACCAACTTTCTACTAAGCCGCATTGCTTTTCCCTAAGGGCATGTAACACAGTCAACCTTCCAGTATCTGGGACAGCTTAAAGGGGGATGCAACTTTCCCAGGACCTGGGCTATGATCACTTTCCTGCTGGGCTGATAATTAAACAGCTGTTAATTAGCATTGAGTGTTCTGGGTAAGGAGGGGCTAGGAGAAAGGGGACCAAGGGTGGCACCTGTCTCCAAAGGGGATGATGAAACATTTTGCTTGAAGTAAGAGTAAGAAAAGAAATAAAAACACAAAACTACTTATTAATGTTGCCCAAAATATTAAAATTTATTAATCCATGATGCTGTGAACTGAGATCATAAAATGGCTGCACTTTGGTTCATAGCCACCAGAATAGAGCTGAGGAGCCATAGAGGGAGTCAGGTCCATGCACATGAACAATAGAATATATATATTTTAAACTGGACCACACCATAGGAGCCATGGTATCCCGGACCCTCATTTGCTCTTGGTGCACATGTGAGTAATGATATGCTCAGTAGCAGTAACTACTGAAATGTTTGGACACATAAATTGATCATTGCCTTTTATGGTCACGGGTTTTGCTTTTTTACACTCTGGCCACCTTCTCCCTCCTTCACATCCCAATCCAGTTTCTTTGGGACCCTGTTGTCTGCAGTATTGCAGTTCTTTAAAAGAGACCAAAATAAATGCTTT